ACCTCTCTCAGCCTTATTCACTCCTGCAGATCCATATCACACCTTTTACTTCACTGTCTGCACTATAAGCTCATTGTGATAATCCTGGTGAGGTCATGGTAAAACCTGCTGTACCTGAGCCCAACAGATTTATGTCTGTGAAAAATAAGACACATAAAAGGTTCATGGCGTCTTATAAACGTCATGAAAGAATCATGACTTTAGACGGGTGATTAAGATTTTGAGTGACAGTGATTGTTGTCTCTTATGCAGATCCTATCCACAGTTCAAGGATAAGGGAGCCATTACATTTACGACTGTCTTATCTGTATGAAATAACAGGGCCAATAAATCCACAAAATGCTCACTGTCACATGAGTTGTTTGTTAAACGTTTTTTACACTTTAACTACAGTAGAAACAAAACTTACTACATAACGTCCTGGTGTCAACACTTTCTATAAAACACTTACATAAATATAATAAGTACATGCTTTCACAAAGATCACAAGTGCCCACTGAAGTCACCTATGGGAGGTTTTGGACGGTCATGAAATACATAATCAAAGTAGAGACTTTCTTTACTTAAGTAGAAACACAAACACCGGTGTTAAAAACTCGTCCAGTAAAAGTCGCAGTAATGAAGCAACCTTTTTTACTACCCAGTATAAACTACACGGTATTTTCATGCGACATTTGAATAAGACAAAGTTTTGCAGGATGCTTCACAATATGAAATCCAATAATGACATCGCATGTAAGCTTTAAATTAGCAGTTTATCAAACATCACTTTACATCTAACCTCTCTCCTTCCTCTCCTGTCTTTATCTTTGTCCTGATCTCTGAGTGAAGTTAACTCCCTTAAAGTGATAGAAACACTAAATATAAAACTCAGCTCATACTCGCTCCTCTTCTATAGAGGTAGCTATAGAAGACGGACACCTGCTCTCCTTCCGACCCACTTCAACCCATGAGTATAAACACTATGGATGATACTGTTGAACCTGAAATAACTAGCCTGCTTTCAACATGTAAGAAGCAGAAAGTATGGATATTTGTGTAAAAATGGAGTAAAAGTAAAGTTGCTAGAAAAATAAATACTCAAGTAAAGCACAGATACCTGAAATTTCTACTTAAGTACAGCAAATACAGCAAGTATTTGTAAGTTTTTACTTTCCAAAAGACACATTGGTTGAGGCTATTTAGCCTACCAGATTTGTGTGTGTGTGTGTGTGAATGGACAATTCCCCACTTCTGTCTGTCTATTACCACTATAAACTATAGTACTATATACTACAAACTATAACAAACAAACGTAACACTTACTGTACTTCCAGTGCACACTTTGTACTGTAATCATAATTTCTCTGGGTGTGTTCCTAATATCAGGAATTTGTGCATGAACACCCTTAAATATCCAAGACTTACTTGTAGTTGATTTCGATGAAAGTTCTACACCGTGATTAGTTTTCCAGTCAAAACATCATCTCTGTGGACAGAAATGATAGAAATGGATATTTCAGTAATGTCTTTCCCAGAGTTCACAGAACTGGGCAGGGGAAGAATATTTGTGGAAATTCTACCGTGGCTCAGTTCAATAAAACCATTGTTTTGGCTTCACATACGTCTCTGTTGCAATCACAGTTTTGACCAAAGACCACATGCTGACTCATGTGCAGATCATAGAGTGTTTCTGCAGTGTGTGCACTGTGAGAAGACGGATTGTGCTGCGCTGAAGCCGCTTTGAAATTTGACTCTGATGCTGATTCATACCAGACAACACTTCGACATGCACAGTGGTTCACATGTTAGATGTAGGCATCATGTGTATTGTTTCACGTGAGAACAACATGTTCAGTTTTGCAGCTTAGCATAGATGATAAAAAAGAACTTTAGCTGCTGATTTACAGGAAGATTGTAGATGTTTAACAGGAGGTGTGCTGAAAGCTCAAAGGACAGAATAAATCCTTCAGATTTCTGGCCGTCTGAAAGATTCATACTCTTCACTTCTCATTTTTCTCTCCACCCCTCAGCACCACAGAGGCAAGCCTTCAGTTCACACAGCTAATTCAGCAGCCAAAGCCTGCAGCTCTGACCTCTGGTCAGCTAAACACTGTTGTTCTGTGAACACAGCTGTGTTCTGTTTTGGTTTTTGGGTTTTTTTGTCAGGTGGACTTTTCATTTTGGGAGTTACCATGGTTGACAGCTTGAACATGGAGAAGCCAGAGAAGCGTTACTTTATTCAGCGCAAGCATGCAGTCATCATCTGCATAACAGTGGTGTTGTGCTGTTTGGCAGTGGGCCTCGGGGTGGGTCTCTCGCGATCAAACGACACCACTCCTGCTGCCACCACCACACCAGCCCCCACAGCGGGGCCTACCCAGCCCCCTTCACCTGGCAGAGGGCCCTGCCTGCCTTCCACTGACTCCAGCGGGGACTGGAGGAATTTCCGTTTACCTGACTATGTGAATCCCGTCCACTACGATCTGCACCTGGAGCCGAACCTCGAGGATGACACCTACACAGGCACTGTTGATATCCAGCTTGAAGTAACCAAGCCCACCCGTCATCTCTGGCTCCACATCAGGGAGACATTTGTCAGTACCTTGCCAAGGTTGAAGGTGCTGAGTAGCCAAGGAGGGCGGAGGGAAGTGGCAGTGAAAAGCTGCTTTGAATACAAAGCTCAGCAGTATGTGGTGGTGGAGGCCACAGAGGAGCTGCCTGTCCTAAACACAGGGGAGGTCTACACCCTCAGTCTAGACTTCCAGGGTTGGCTCAATGGCTCTTTGGTGGGATTCTACAGAGTTACCTACATGGAGGATGGAATCACCAAGTAAGTCACGTGATTCAGTTCTGTCACAAACATACACAAACATCTTTATTAATCAAGAATTAGAAAAGAACAGAGCAAGAAGGCATAAGACACATGAAATAGTTGCATCTTTCAAGAAAATTCAGAGTCGCCTTACAGTCTTTTCTGGAGGTATTAATAGGTGTTAAATAACTGTGGACATTCTATGCAATAGTTCATAATAGCAGTTGAAATGTTGAAATAAAATACGTTTTTTTTATTGAGTATGATTTTGTGTAAAACTTGTCTTCTGAGAAGCAACCAAGAGCAGGTTTATGATGGTTGTAAAAATTGGTGTTATCTGGTTTCATCTTGGATAAAAACCAGAGTCGTTGGTTGTGGCTCAGGAGGAACAGCAAGTCTTCTACTAACTGTTTCTTTCCTGGATCCTTAAGCAACACAGATATCGTCCACACGACTGCGGCTGTGGTCAGTGGATGTGGATAATTAATGGATCCTGCCCTCTGCATCGCTCATTGGACATGGAGCTGAAAACTTTCTCTGACATCTCTTTCAGATTTGCTATCACAAGACCAGATACAGAATATCTTTACCACTGTATACCAACACATCTGCAATCATTTTAGACTTAGTCTAGTCATCCTATCATATTTCACTTTACATACATATTTACTGATGACTTTACTTGTATTTCTTATGTAGCTGAGCTCCTTCTTTGATGGGATTTCTACACTAAAGAGGTCCAGGTCATTTTGTTCTATGACATATTTTATTGAGGTAGATTGATTTTCACGCAAAATATTATTTTATGCAGATAAAATCCAACATTATTATATTATATATTGACCAACGGAATATATTGACCAATCAACACGTTACTCTGAAGACTGTAACGTGGCTTAAATATTAAAAAAAAAGGTAAAAACTATCAATAGAAGACTTTTTATAATTCACCAGCTATTTGGTCTTTACTTCTTCAGTCACTACATTATGTGGGATTTAAACAGATGTACGTTTTGGTTATGCGTCCTACTTTAAATGGAAAACCCCTGTAGTCTCCTGGTACTGCTGGGATTGGCATTTGGTACTTTTGTTTTCATTAGCTTGT